CTACATGTACAATGTAACAGCCTAATAAGGAAATACCGAACTGATGGAATCTCTTCGTTAGAGACACAATATATATACTGCTGGGACTTTCTACCGTAACACTATCAAATACGCGAGTTTCTTCTCCTTCTTCCTTAAACGTTTACTATATTAATTCACTTGTTTGTTTGAGATTGGCAGTAATCCACACGAAGTCGTTACATGTACTTTTTAACCATTGCTTTATGATTACAATATGATATTAACCAGAAAAAGGATGGATGTATAAATGGGTCAGATGAATCGTTTGATCAGTTCGTCGAAGATGGTTTGTTTAGTTTATGTAAGATAGTTTTATCAGTTCATCGAAGATAGTTTTATCAGTTCATCTAAGATAGTTTTAACAGTTCGTTGAAGGCACAGGGGCATGGATAGCTTTACTTGTAATATTACAAAATAGGGGTCTCCTATACATATAAATGTATTTATTAATATAGGAGACCCTTATTTTTTAATATTACAAGTAAAGCGATCCATGCCCCTGTGGTTGAAGGTATTTTTATCAATTCGTCGAAGATGGTTTTATCAGTTCATCTAAGATAGTTTGATCAGTTCATCTGAGATGATTTTATCAGTTTGTTTAAGATATATTTATCAGTTCTTCTGAGATGGTTTTATCAGTTCATCTAAGGTAGTTTTATCAGTTCGTCGAAGGTAGTTTTCTCAGATCATTCAAGATAGTTTTATCAGTTCGTCGAAGGTAGTTTTATCAGTTCATGTAAGATAGTTTAATCAGTTCATCGAAGATAGTTTAATCAGTTCATCTAAGATAGTTTGATCAGTTCGTTGAAGGTAGTTTTATCAATTCGTTGAAGATAGTTTTATCAGTTCATCTAAGGTAGTTTTATCAGTTTATCTAATATACTAGTAGTTTTACCAGTTCATCTAAGATAGTTTTATCAGTTCATTTAAGATAGTTTTATCAGTTCATCTGAGATAGTTTTATCAGGTCATGGAAGATTGTTTTATCAGTTCATCGAAGATAGTATTATCAATTCATCGAAGATAGTTTTATCAGTTCGTCGAAGGTAGTTTTATCAGTTCATGTATGATAGTTTCATCAGTTCATCGAAGGTAGTTTAGCAATTCGTCGAAGATAGTTTTATCAGTTCATCTGAGATAGTTTTATCAGTTCATCTAAGATATTTTGATCAGTCCATCTAAGATAGTTTTATCAGTTTATCCAAGATTGTTTTATCAGTTCTTTTGAGATTGTTTTATCAGTTCATCTAAGATTGTGTTATCATTTCATCTGAGATAGTTTTATCAGTTCATCTGAGATAGTTTTATCACTTCACCTTAGATAGTTTTATCAGTTCATCTGAGATAGTTTTATCAGTTTATCTGAGATAGTTTTATCACTTCACCTTAGATTGTTTTATCAGTTCTTTTGAGATTGTTTTATCAGTTCATCTAAGATTGTGTTATCATTTCATCTGAGATAGTTTTATCATTTCATCTGAGATAGTTTTATCACTTCACCTTAGATAGTTTTATCAGTTCATCTAAGGTAGTTTTATCAGTTTATCTAAGGTAGTTTTATCAGATCATCTAAGGTAGTTTTATCAGATCATCTAAGGTAGTTTTATCAGTTTATCTAAGGTAGTTTTTTCAGTTCATCTAAGGTAGTTTTATCAGATCATCTAAGGTAGTTTTATCAGTTTATCTAAGGTAGTTTTTTCAGTTCATCTAAGGTAGTTTTATCAGATCATCTAAGGTAGTTTTATCAGTTTATCTAAGGTAGTTTTTTCAGTTCATCTAAGGTAGTTTTATCAGATCATCTAAGGTAGTTTTATCAGTTTATCTAAGGTAGTTTTTTCAGTTCATCTAAGGTAGTTTTATCAGTTCATCTAAGGTAGTTTTATTATTTCATTTAATTTAGTTTGATAACTTCATCTAATGTAGTTTTATTAGTTTATCTTAGATAGTTTTATCAGTTTCGTAAAATTCAATCTTGCATGGATCTAACGTACTGGCCACGCTCCAATTAAAAGAGAACATTATATTAATATCTTGCAATGACGTTTGATATAATTTAAATAATAATTAATTCACTAATACAATCAAATAAAATGTAATATTTTGTTTGAATGTCAAAGAAAGAAAATAACCAATTGTGTTGACTACAATTGAAATGAAGTATTTTATGTGACCTTGCCCTTTAATTAACTACAGCATTTTAATTTATATTTTAACTTTAGCTTCTTGACTATTGGATACATGTGTACCGGTAAAATTTCTTGACTTGGTAATATCTGACTATGATCAAAAACTGTCGACGACGCTAATCTTTCTCTCTGATAGTTTGTATAACTTAATATCGTGAGTATTTGAAAGAAGGTATCTACATTCTTACATAATATACACAACGAGGATTGTGCATCTTTTAACAAAATAAAAATACATCAATCAATAAAATAAAAAAGTAAACTACTGTTCATATTAACAAATATGATATTTGCATCAGCGTAAGATTGATCCTTTTATGTACCTACTACCGGAGTAACATTTTGCCTGTTGCAGTTATATTATGTGACTACATTTGTACCGGCCTGATGTGCATACATTATGTATATACATACATATGCTGGCATTGTAATGTAATTTAATCAAGTAACAGCTGATTATCCATGCAAGATACTGTATCAAACGTTCAAAACGCATGTCTGAAATCAATCCCAATGATTCCAATACACATCAATCTGTACCGGACAACCTGTCCAGGATTACTTTGACGTTAAGTATGTTTGAACATCCGTTAGAGTAGTGCAATCTATCGGATCATGTCTGTGTATCGTCAACAATCTAGTTATACTTAATCAAAGTAGAAAAAAATGAAAAGGAGGGAAGGAAGAGAATATTGTACAGAATAAGCTGTGTAGTTTATTAGAATGGAAATGTTTAAAACGATTTGTTCATAATGCAAAAATAAACAACAAATTGTCGTAAGTAGTAATAATAAAACCGAACATTATACATTATATTTAATATAGTATGGCATTGCCACCATATAAACCTACCACATTCAGATGGCGTTTTGTTACCTATGAATGCCATGAGCTGATTGTTGACGTCATCATTATTTTGAAGTCATAATTGTTACGTTGGTTATTACTGATACTCCTTGTACAATTGGCCGTTCTGTTAATTGAACAAGCATATACGATAGATACATTATTTCAACTAAATGCTGAATTATACCAAGTGAAATTGAATTGTCTATGAACTAAACAGATTACGAAATGGTAAATTCAAAGGTAAATCCAAATGTAAATCTAGCACTTTTCAGTGAATTGCTCCTGCCCAGTTCGTATTCATATACAGAAGCAGTTCAATATTTAAGTGCTCGTCAATTACATAATGACCAAGTGTAATATATATCAAATATAACAGAAAGTATATTTATTAATCATATTTTTTGTATATCAAACTGAATGATCATTTTCTCACTATCATACTACTGCAAGTGTTACGACTTCAATATCATGACCATTGGTTTTCCTTTCCACAATACTGATATTGCATATACACTTCATAGTGACCGATACATTACGTACTTAGGGTGTTCTAACCTCTAGGCATCAACCTTCAATGAAACAGATGTACGTTAATCATGGTGGGATAACCACCTATCATAGATTAGTGTCTACCACATAATTGGGGATTACCTCATTGTTCGTGTCTTTTCCTGTTCCGTTTTTTTTTGTAGTTTTGTATTGGCTTTCAATTCCAATTTGATCCTTTTGTGCTTCTATTCCGATATTTTAAATATTACTGTATCTTAGATATTTGATTACCGGTTGACTTTCCTGGATTTGACGGATAACAACATGATGGGCGTGGGCCACTTGTGGTGCAAGAAATCTACAACAATCAGGTAACATCTGGTTAAGACTACATTTGTGGGTTTATGGTTTTCGGTTCCTGTAGTTGTCTTTCCTTTTGTTTTGGTTTGTCCCCGATTCCTGTTGCTGTCTTTCTTTCTGTTTTTGTTTGTCCTGTATTTGTCTTCTCATTTGTTTTGGTGTCTCCTTGATTCCTGTTGTTGTCTTTTGTATCAAATTTGAGCTCTGATTTTGTCGATGCGCGAGAATCTACTGTGAATTTTAATCGATTCGGCTCTATTACAACCTTCACCGTAGCGAATTAACTTTTAACAATAACAAATTCAAAACGTGGATAAAACATAAAAGGTGGTTTCAACATCACACAAAAAAAATGCCGAAGCTTACTTGCCACAATTGAAAATGCACCTAGACAACAACACATCAGAGGCTGGTTGGTCTACCATGGTTTATGTTGTAACACACTTTCATCCCGGTTTTATTTTCACTAAGCAGTATAATGCTTATGTAAGTCAGTGAAACATATGAGGCAAACATGTAAGAACCATTAAACTAAGTCAGGAAGCTTACATGCTTTATTGCCATTTCAATATGAATATAATTATTTTGATCTATGGTGAATTGACTTTGTAAATGTCGAACCAATTTATTTCGAGTTTATATTTTTATGTCCTTAAGGCACGTTTCTGTGATTAATATTTAAACATGATATAATCTGGGAAAAGAAAAGACACGCCATGTGTTATACAGGCATCTGAGTGCAGACTTATAAGCATTATAACACCATGCTTTAGTAGTTTTTCTTTGGCGCGTTTTGTAATAATTTTTTATGTCCTTTTTTTATTAGAAATATGCCGGTATGGCCATTACATGAATTTTGGGACAAACTGTTACAGACCTTGGATCTGTTTTAAGGGCAGCTAAAGGACAGAACAGGAATTCCTGAAGCATCCCATCTGTGATTCAAGTCTTGTTAAGAAGAATGAGAGAAGATTTTGTAGTGACGTAGTGCTTTTGTGAGGCTCTTTTCGACGCCAGCTGTGCTTTACTTATGCTTCAATAAATTGATTAAAATATGCCCGCAGTTTTTTTCTATGAAGAAAATTGTCAATTTGCGGCTACTTATGTACGTGGTTTGTCAGTAAGTGCTGCCATATCATAAGCCACTGACCACGAAGATAGACCGAAGCCTGACGAGTATACAGGTAAGTAAAAGTGTTCAACTTATAATCTGATATACTTATGTTAATAAATCAAATAAATATATCATACATAGGTCGTGCTCGTAAGTATGTTGTCTCTTTTAATCTACCTTGGTCAAAATCATATTACATTGCACAATGTATAATCCTCTTAATACAAGTATATAAAAAATATATTTCACCGAACAACTGTTACGTCGAAATACAGGTTTGGTTAGATCCTACAATTTATTATATTAATCATTTTATTGACAGAAATTGCAATTAACAAATTAATTTAATTGTTCAAAATACTTCTATTAGTTTTTTGTATAATTTAGAAAACGTTAAATAATCAAGGATGCTTATAACTTATAATTGCTGATTTGAGAAGGTTTCGTATTTCAGGTAAATTGCATACATATATGAAATTGCAATAGTATTTGACCGTTACTAAAAATATTAATTGAAGAATATGCGGTCAATTTTAATATGATATAATTATAATATGTATCATGAACGCCCAGATATGATACGATTGCTGTACTAGTGCGAATTATTTGCATTTTATTTCTGTATACTTACACGAAACAGTATTAACGTGTAAGAAAACAATACCAAATAATTGAAAATTGCTCTTTCTGTGTGGAATGAAAAATACATACTTTTTAATTGTGTTGTTTGTAATTATTGGAAGAAGAACAAAATTCTGCTTTAAAAATTAATAAATTAAGAGCACAAGTGTCCTAAACAATATTATGACAATGTTTAAATGCAAATTAGAATTGCTACACGTTATACAAGTATAACGCGTCCAGATCATTCGAACTACTGGGTGAACGTTCATAGCATTATTCAAATAGATATATAGCATGGTCGGGTAGTGTAGCGGAGAGCGCACCCGCCTTTCACCAAGCCGGCGGTAGTTTGACTCCCCAAAGGTATAGATGCATAAGCGTTTCGAACTATTACTGATCGGAAGATGAAATACAACAGAATTCCAAAATAACTATTCCTGTAATTTCTTGCGTATTGCCCGTCGGTTATGCAGCTTTTGGTTTCGGTGAAAAATGCCGACTGTGGGCTATCTGATAAAGCGGGCAATGTTACGAAATAATTCCAAAGGCACCATAAAACTTGTCGGCTATGTGATATTTTTCAAGTCCGAAATCGTGTACATGTTAAATCATAAACAAAATGACAGATAATCTCGGGGTTCATCATTGAACTTATGCAGGAAATGTTGGTTCATTTTACTGTCACTGTATGGTATCGTTTATACGTAGTACCAAGTGGAGTACTGGGAGTCGCCATAGTTGTTTACGTCCGACTAATGAAGTAAATAAATCAAAATTATATAAAGATTGAATTATCCAGATAAGCACAGGTGTAAACTTCATTTATCTGCCGATAGTAACGAACCTGGTACTCTTTGCGTATGATGATTTCTTATGTAGCAGATAAGCCGCAGGTAATCTGTTTCCTAGACATGGTATTTTGAGGTGTGCGGGCAATATAAGGAAGCGGAGGACATAGGGAATTGTAAAACACGTGACATGTCAGTTATCGCAAATATTCTAATGAAGTCCTTCCTAGGATCAATGTTAAATTTTGTCAATTCGATGGCCATGATCAGAATTATATGTATATATTTATTTAATAATGTTTTTCTTTTACAGCAAAGCTAGCATCATCGCTTAATTTATCTTATTTAGTTACACATGAAATGTTAGAAAATAATCAATCGTATTGAGATATGTATTTCAATTTTGATATAAAACCAGTGATATTTCTTGAATTTTTGCGGTAAAACAAGTCGACAAAAAAAAATTGTAAAATATTAATCGTGTTTCACTTGGAACTAAGCAGCGAGTTGTTCGATTTAAAGGGGTGTGATATCATTTTTCTGATTTTATTTTAACGAGTTTGAATGCGTTTGACAGATGCACTTAAATAGCTTCCAAAATCAATGCATTTTACTACGTTAGATATGCACTCCCTCTGTCTTTGCTATACAGCCCCGGGGTAAGACACCCTCTTCTTCATATTCATCAGTGTCGTGTCTATATATATGTAAAAATTGACAAAACGTGCCCCGCAGATACGACCACGTCAGAATACGCAGTCGTAAAGATTTGTAATACTGGATTGAACGGTTATAAATATTGTCATTCCCACCTGCGGTGCAATGCGTGGTTGTTAATAACCTAAAAAATAATCTACAAAAGAACGTAGTATTTTTTTCTAATGAATGTATTTTAAGACAAAACGATGACAACCATCATTCATCACACAGTAATATGGAAGACGTGTCGCTAACGGAGTTTAAATGGTCAAAGCGGATAAGTGATGAATCCAAGTCATGCAGCGTTTTGTATCTTATTTATAATCATAAGTAAATTCTTGCGTCTTTTGATGGAATTAAAAAAAAAAAAAATGGATTATCGCTCTGTGTTTTCTCATCGCGAGCACGCGAGCGAATAAAATCGAGAGGCCACCGCCAGTCGACACGAGAGTGTTTCATCCACGTACTCCACGTTGAGAAAATATTTTGAACGACAAACATTGTGTGATAAACTGTTTGTCTTTTTCTCCATTGATAAAATGTGAAATAAATAAGATATCGTCCAACTGACTTCTAGACTTGATATGATCATGGAGAACCTCGATCTGTGGCAAACGAAAATGAATAAAAAATTTACGCGGAGGAACAACATGGACCTTTAAACTATGGATATTTTGAAACAATTCCATTGTCACTGCCTTCTCCATATGAACATTTACACTTAAACTGATGTTATCCTCACAATATGTTTTTCATAATTTTATAATGCCTTTTCATATTTTCTTACACTGAACACCTTTGTGTGGATAATATTTGCGGTTCCGGACATCACCTGGTGCGAGCAGACGTTCTTTGTTTGAGAAATTGCATTCCTAAATGGAAAAATCCATTGTCAAGTCGTTTTCAAGGCATTCGCAACTTCTCATTGAGTATTCTAATAATGACAACCCATGATAATACATTGATCATGCTACCGGTAGATGATATAATATAGAATATAGACGATGAAGTATGTTACCACGTTGTGAATACCGGAAATATTCAAAACTCGAATCCGAGACTAGAAAACCGGAACTGGACACAACTGCTTCCAACAACTGAAAATAAATGTGTAAAGACTTAACAAAGTGTTCTTACAGTATTTTACATTGGGAAACCACAAAACGGCTCAAGGTGTTATACCAATCGTACATATTAACAAATTATATTTGATGTAATAAATTGCTAGAAAACAAAAAATTACATCAGTCAAGTTCAATAGAATAGTATTGCTTCTTTTGACATGTTTAAACTCAGGAACTCATTAACAATCATATAATATATATGTTATAAAAATTGAAAAAAATCTGATTTGATAATATCAGAGACAACAACATTTGAATACATCTCTTAAAATAATTTTAAACTTATATATATTAAGCTTTGCTTGACATGCCTATTTTTGGTTAAGATTGATGTATCCTTGCTTTGTGTCGTTATTTGTTGTTCTCATGTTACCTTCTCCGTAAGTTCTGTATTTGATAAAATTTTGTTAATTATGAACATATATTCAATACTATAATAACACTAAAGTACTTATCATATTAAGATAAATGTAGGTAGTCTAATGTTAACTATTTGTAATGATCGGGTGGCGAAGTGGTTAGCGCTCCCTCCTTTCACTAAAAGGACGGGGTTGGATTCTCCGATCAGACGTGATAAGGTATATTGGGTCACCTGCCCGACTACCTGGGTTTTCTTCGGGTACTCCGGTTTCCTCCTACATTGATTCCCAATACACGCTACCATCCGGGGCCACAAGAGTAATTGATATAAGTTGATAGGATCTGTTTCGCAATCGTTCTAAAATGAAAAACAAGGTTTAATTATACTATAATTACGCTACAATAAATGGATATAAATAAAACGGGAATGAAACAGAACTGAAGAACTGAATGTTTAATTGACTACTTGTTTGGTAATCAAAGAAGTTCGATTAATGTTTGTTTGCTTGCGTGGACTGACAAAGAGCGTTTACTTACGAGTAACCGAATACATATTGGATATCTTTATTTACATTGGATAATGTAGTTCACATGTACTTCTATTCCACGTTGTTCAGTTTGTCGATAACTATTTCGTGACAATGTTTTATCGTACATCTGTGTATTGCGAACGTTAACCACATATAATTTTGTTTTTATTTTGATAAAGTAAATGGTATGAGGAACATATAAATAAAGTACAGTTTTGAATTGTATAAATTATTGACGAATAAGTAAACAATGACAGAATTGCTGTCGCTATGCTATACTGTCTTTCTGTATTTTATTTCGAAATATACAAATATGCAAACATGATACCCCTACCCTTTTCTTTACTTTCATTTCGTAACGTGACAAATCTAAATGATAAAGCATAATTTTGGCCTGCTTTGTCCTCCGCTCACCTTTCCTACACCCTTCCCCCCTCCAAACAATTATAATACTAATAGTAATTCGAGGTTCTTATATACCGCTTTATCACAACCTAGTTCGTAGGTCTCTCAAATCGGTTCACAAACTATTATCTGTGGTTATAGGGCCTTTGCAACGCGCCAATACCTTTCTCAACTGAGCATACCGCCGGTGCTGCCATTTCGGCGCTCACATCTAGCATACTACAGGTCTAGCACTACCCAACCACGTACTCATTTACAGCTGAGTAGACTGGAACAAGCGGAGTCAAGTATCTTGCTCAAAGATACAACACAGTGCGGTGACTTGAGTCGAACTCGCTCGCAACCCTTCGGTCATGAGCCCGGCGTCCTACAACTAGACTACCGTGTCCCCCCTCTCCCCGCATACTTTAAAAAAAATTGGATATTCAGCATTGTACATGTTAATTATTTATTATCAGTGTCGACACATAGTTTTCTTGATAATAAGAATGTTCAAATATGTGCTCAATAGTTTAAAAAATCAAACGAACAACTACAAAA